TTTTTACTATTTTTATCTTTATAAGTAGATATTAAGCCTAACCTACCCTATACCTACCTATAGGCTAAAATATAAAAAATAAGTTTAATAAGTAAGTTAACTTAATAACTAATTAGTCTATAAATCTAGAAAGTACCTAGCTTATAAATATAGTAACTATAAATAGAAATATTAAAAATATAGTTATAAAACCTATCTAAAGGTAATACCTATATATAGATAGTATATATTTAGCCTAACTTTTATTAAGAATCTTTAAAAAAAACTTAAAAAAATACTTTTTTTAATATTATAAAAGAGTTTTAATAAAATATAAAAACTTATAAACTCTATTTATATTATATAAAAAGAGATAACTATTATAAATATAAAGCTTATCTCTTTTAAGGTTATTTAATATATTATAATAAAAGCCTTTTAAGAATACTTAGTAAGTAATTCTTAGCCTACCTTCTATATAGAAATAACCTAAAAATCCTTAGGCCTTTAGGTAAAGCTAGTTTTAGCCTATTATAATATTAAATTATTAATTAGCTATTATTTTTACTTAGAAAAGATTTAATCTTTTTACTTATAAGAGTTTATTAGTAAAGCTAATAAGGCCTTAAAAGTAGATACTATTATAGCTATTTACTAACTCCTTTTTAAAGATATAGTTTTTTCCTTTTATAAAAAAGTAAAGAATTATATTAAAAATAATAAATAAGTTAAGATAACTTATACTAAGAAAGTATACCTTACTTAATAAGAATACTTTATAATAGTTAAAGAAGTATTTATCTTAAAGATCTTATAAAATACTTTTAACCTTATTATAAAGCTTTTAGTTATTAATAAAGTAAATATTATATTAATTAAGACTATTTAAGCCTATTTAAAAACTAGATTAAAGACTATTTTTATTATTAGAGTTTATAAAATAAGTATTATTAACTACCTTTATAATATTAAAGTATTCTTCTAAATATAGGCTTTTATTTATAAACCCTTTTTAAAGTCTATTTAGTTTTATTAATATTATAATTATTATATTATAAAATATATTATTTACTATTATAATAAAAAGGCTAAATATAGTTAATACTTTAATAGTATTTACCTAGAAAGGAAGGCTTATTTAATAGTAACTAACCTAGGTAAAGAAAGGTACCTAAACTATAAAGGCTAATACTTAGCCTAAGCCTAAGCCTATTTAGTTTAAGTAAAGTACTAAAAGGCTATTAATATAGAATATTACTAATAACTAATAGTTTTTACCTAGTTATAGAAAATCTAGTATTTATTATACTCTTCTTAAGCCTTATTATTAAATAAAAAAGGCTTAGTAGGCTAGGTAAGCTAGTTAGTAAATAATACCTTATTAAACCTATTAGGCTAATAAGCTCCTTTCTTAATCTTAAAAGGGCCCTCTTTTTAAACTCTTTATTAATAACTAAGAAAAAGACTTTCTAGTTTATTAAATAGAATTAATATTACTTTTAAGCTTAATAAACTAAATATAATAATAAATAGGTTACTAATAACAAGCAGCTCTAAAGCCAGAAGAACAATCTCCTATTACCTAGTATATTTAGCACTTACCTATACTATATAACTAGATAGAAGTTATATAATATAATAACTTTACCTCTTACCCTATATATACCCTATTAGTCTTAATAGGTTATAAGCCTAATAGCGTTTATATTATAAAAACTACTAATAAAATAAAGGAAAGTGTTAATTTCTTACTAAATTTACCTACTATCTATATAAGCTAATATTTACTATAAAACTTAAGAAATTTATAACTCTTTATATATAGGAAGAGAAAAGACCTTAAACTCTAGCTAATCTAAAGTATATCTAATAAGTCTATTTACTATAAAAATTTTATATAAAGAAAAAGAAATTCTATTATTATACCCTACCTAGTAATTTATATATAGACTCTATATACTTATTTTATATATATTATAATATAAATTTACTTAGTAGTTATAGCCTTTAAATAAATATACTTATTAGATTACTTATTATAATCTATAGTCTTAAATATACTTACTAGATTACTTACTATAATCTATAGTCCTAACTACTATAAAAGGTATATAGTAACTACTTACTTAGTAAGAAGAATTCCCTATTACTTATTTAAATACTTTTTACCTTTAAATAAATATAAAGTACTTAGTTTAAAAAGAAAGACTATATATTTAACTTATTATCCTCTTTATTATCTTAAAGTTCTACTTTCTTAGTAAGTAATACTATTAGTAACTTAACTCTTATATATAAGCTAAAATCTTCTTATAGCCTTATTACCTACTTTATTATCTAGTATTATATCTTTAATATTAAAGGAAATACTAAATATTTTAAAGTTTAAATCTAAAAGTAGTTAGATTAAATAGAAACTAAAAATAATTAATATACTAAGACTTAATAATCTTAGTAGATTATTACTAAAAGGCTAAAAAAATAGCTTTATCCTAACTAAGGCTTATAGTAGTAAGACTATAAAGGATTTTATTTAAGAATAAATATAAGATTAAATCTATATTATTACTTTTATTAATATAAGCCTTAAAAAATATACTTATAGCTTTATTAAAGATAAAGTTATAATATTAGATATAATTATAGCCTTTAAGAAGTATTTTAAATTAAAAAGTATTACTATTTTCTAAACTATAGCTAACTATCTCTTAATACTAACCCTTACTTAATATAGATCTATTAAGAAACTTATTATAATATTTATTAATATTTAGGCTAAGTAGTAATCTCTTAATAGAGATTTTAAAGTCCTTAAGACTTTAATAGTATATTTTTTTATTAATAGTCTTAATAAAGAGTTTAACTCCTATACTACTAAAATAGCCCTTTATCTTATTTTAAAATAAACTAATAATACTATTATAGCTCTTATAACTATACTTATATAAATAGTTATAGTTATAACTAACCTTATTAAGTTTAAATAATAGAATAATAAAAAGTCTAAGTAGTAAGCTATTTTAGTTATTATAATAGCTATTAAAAAGTATTCCTTTTATAATATAATAAAACCTAATACTACTAGGTACTTTTATTCCTCTTATAAGCTTTTAGGTTACTTTAATAAGTAATATTAAAAGCTATACCTTAAACTCTATTTAATAAACCTACTTTCTTTATTTTAATAAAATAAAAAGTATTAATACTTAACTAAGAAATATAATAATAAGTATAAATATAAAAAGGTTAACTTTAAATAGTATATAAGTCCCTTTATAGACTTTAAGCTAGTTTAACTTACTTTTATTATTTTTTAAAGCTTATAATATTCTAGTTAACTTAAAATAGATAGTACTCTTATAGGTATTAAACCTAGATAAGATTTTAGTCTTTTTATATTATTATATTAAAAACTAATATTATTTAACTTTAATATATTTAGCTATATCTTAAGCTATAAAGAACTTATAAAGAACCTATCCTTTTACTTAGGCCTTAGTATCTAAGGTCTTATTAATACTATCTTAAAACCTACTACTTATAGAATAGTTATTATTACTATAAAAAGCCTTAAGATTACCTTAAAATTATATAATAGTATTCTATAGGAAGGTACCCTAATAAGCTTACTCTCTATTAATTACTTAATAGTAAAGAATATTATAGTAGTCTTTAGTAAAGAAAGAGTAGTTATAATAAAAGATTAAGGGGTTATTCTTACTACCTAGTAAATTACTAAAGTCTATATAGTTAACTATATTACTTTAAATATTAGTATATTAGCCTATATAATAAATAATCTAAAGTATAAACTATAGTATAATTAACTTAAATATCTAGGGGAATAGAATATTATTAAACTTATCTCTATCTTTACTAGTATAAAGCCTATTAGCTAGTATAAATATTATATTAGTTATTTTATAAGAAAATAAAAAGAAAGCCTTTATATTTATTTATTCTAAAAAGGAATATATCCTTTTAAGAGCCTTTATACTAATATTATTAATACCCTACCTACCTCTTAGAAAAAGGATTAGTATTAAGTTATTATTATTAATAATTATACTAGAATATACTAGCTATTCCCTATTAAAAAGAAATCTTAGCTATTTAATATAATACTAAATTTCTTAAAGATATAGAAATATCTAGAATATAAATACTATTTTATCTAGCTAGATTAAGAAGGGAAGAATATTATAACCTAGTTTAAGAACTCTTATATTTCCTTAAGTATATATCTATAGTATTCTACTACTAATTAGTATTAATAGAATAGTATTACTAAGGTTAGGAATAGGATACTATAAGATAAGCTTTTTTTTATTATATATTAGTTAAAAGTACTAATTAAATTCTAACTAGTTATAGTATAAGCCTATATTACTTTTTAATAGTATACCTTTATAATAAAGAATAATAAACTAATAACTCCTTATAAACTATAGTTTAGAAATAAACCTAACCTTAGTTATTTATAAATTATAGGTAGTTATAAATAGTA